GTCCTAAGATGAGCAGAGCATGGTAGGCTACTGAATGAAGACTCAGCTACATGCAGGGTTCAGGTGTGCAAAAAGCTAGAGACTGTTCCCAAGGCTACTTCTTATATACAGGAATTATCAACAGTAGATTCCACCATGGAGATAATTACCAGTCTCATCATGGGGAATACTGCATCCAGCTGCCCAGCCACTCAACTAGGCCTAGCCAAGTTGACACAACCTTAACTACCACAGATGGTGTGATAGAATTTTGCATAACCAATGACTTATTCATTGAAAATCCTATTTTAAACCACATAATTCGTGACTGTATACATGGTCCTTGCCAGATGGAATACACAGGAATCAAATAGACTATATCTGTGGAAAGAGACCATGAAAAAGCTCAATATTATCAGTCAGAACAAGGCTAGGAGTTGACTGTAGAACACATTATCAATTGCTCATATACAAGTTTGAGCTGAAGCTGAAGAAAATGAAAACAAGTCTGTGAGAAACAAAATATGATCTTCAGTATATCCCACCTAAATTTAGAGATCCTGTGAAGAATAGATGAGATACATTGAACAGCATTGACCAAAGACCAGACAAGTCATGGAATACTTTCAAGGATATCATACATGTAGAAAGCAGAAGTCATTAAAAAAACAGGAAAGAAGAAAACTCCAAAGTGGAGGTCAGAAGAGACTCTGAAACTTGCCATTGAAAGGAGACTAGCTAAAGCAAATGGAAGAAATGATCATGTAAAAGAGTTGAACAGAAGATTTCAAAGTTCAGCTCAAGAGGACAAAGTATTGTAATGAAATATGCAAACACTTGGAGTTGGAAAATCAAAGGGGAAGATCATGCTTAGCATTTCTCAAGCTGAATGAACTGAAGAAAGAATTCAAGACATCAGATGAGATATTGAGGCCATAGGTGCAGGGTGGGACAGGGAAGGTAATGTGACTGGAGGGGAGACCATAGGCATTTGGGCCACATCCTCATGCAACTTACTTGTGGCTTCAGGTCCTGCTCGAGCTCGATCTCTGATATACTACTTCCATTTAATGATGGAGTGCTGCTGTGCACGTCCA